CTCTCTCTTTTCCTCCCTCCCTCCCTCCTCAATGTGCCTGGCACTGGAGCAAGAGGACGGAGCCAGGCAGGGCCACTGAGCCGAAGCTGACCCCCCAGGCCTGCACCAGGAGGTCCTCCACCCAGGCACTTGGAGGCTGCCTACATCTCATTGACCAGGGTGTCTGGGGAGCAGGGAGAGAATGAACTGGCCAGACCTTTGTCTGTCTGGACGACCCTCCCAGGACATCCTAAGAGAGGTGGGCTCCCTTAGAATCCTGCGCATCTGTTCCCAGAGGCCAGAAAGTTGGCCCCAGCCCTCCCTGACCTCAGTATGTGGGCAGGCAGGGAGGCCCACCCTGTGGCCACACCCTCCCACAGGTCCAGGTGTGCCCAGGACAGCTCTGGACCTTGGTGCCCGGCTCACAGCAGCCACACCAGCCCCAGGAGCTGGTGTCTGTGATGTGTCCATGATGTGCAGCAGGCCTCTCAGGGCCAACCCCCTGCATAGGCCCCACATCACCCGCGTCCTCTTCAGCAGGGGGAAATATGGGGAATTTCCTTTCCTGTCCCAGAGCCCTTTTCTGATTTCTGAAATGCTCTTTAATAATACGTTTTTAAAGATAATCAAACCCAATAACTTAATATTGAAAAGACATTATCTGAGGCACTAGCCTGTACTTCCTCTACCTCCTTCCACTAGCCCAGATTTCCTTATAACCACAGGCCTCCGCTATCCGGCACGGCAGCTCCCTTCTTCTGTCTGGCCTCTGCGGGTCATGCTGCATCCTCAGAGCTGGGGAATCTTGCCCCGAGTCCCTCTGTGAGCTGAGGGACCCTCGTTCCCCCACACTCTCAACTGCTGCCTCTCCTCCAAGAGGCCAGCAATCTCAGCCAGTCACCAAGGACGTCCAGCTGCTGATTTCCAGTATCCAGCTCAAGGCTGAGCCAGCTGCTGCCTCTAAAGGCCCGCAGCAGCCCAGGTCCGTCAGAGTGGCCAGTACTGAGAAAAATAGGGACAGAGAACAAACGACAAGACAGGGAAGGACTGTGTTCACCACTCGTGAGATGGGCTGAGCCTGACCTCCGTCCCTAATTGTATCTATGACCTCGGGGGTGGTGATTCTCCTTGAACCTCAGTTTCCCATTTGTAAAATGGGAATGATATCTATCTCACATATTCCAGTTAGCTGATTGACGTAGAAGGGCTTGGTCTCCCGTCCTGTGCCTCAGGCTATGAGAGGTCACTGTGTCCTATCTTTATGCAGCCTAAATACCTGGACATGCTTAAGAGGTGACTCAGGGACTTCTCCATCGATCCAGGGGTTAAGAATCCCCCTTGCCATGGAGGGGACACAGGTTTGATCCCTGGTCAGGGAACTAAGATCCCACGTGTTGTGAAGCAACTAAGCCTTCACCCCACAGCTAGAAAGTCCATGCACAAGGAAAGAGCTTGTGTGCTGCAACTAAGACCCAACCCAGCCAAATAAACAAATTTTTTTTAAAAAGTGACTCATTCTAACCCTTTTACTCTCACCACAGCCTGGACCCCTCACACCCATACTTTGGAAGTTGGTCCTGGGCATCCATGGCCAGCACATAAGCCAGTACCAGCCAGCTCGAGCCCAAGGACTAGCCACTGATGAGATAGTTCTGGGAACCATGGCAGGTGGTAGGTTGCACTGGTCCCTGCCTCCTCAAATCTTGCTAAAAAGAAAGAAAATCTTCACCCCTCTCATTCCTGGACTGCAGTACTTTCTTGAGAGTAAATCCCCAGCAGGTTTCAGGCTGAGCATGGATGAAGCCTGTCTGCCCATCTCTGTCCGAAAGGCCTGACTCTCCAGCCTCTCCTATCCTCAGGATTAGAGGAGGTTGGGGTGCTATGGTCACAAGTGGCCGCTGGGCCTGCCAAGCCCGGCCTGACGGCTGGCTGTGGTGGCTGGTCCTTCTCAAAGTCACCCTAGGACAACACCACCTACCCGCAGGAGGGCTGCAGAGAAGGGAGGGGCTCTCCAGGGGAGGATCCCCTACCGGCGGTTTAGGAATTCCACCTGGAAGTCAGGCAGTCTCGGGGGAGCAGAACAGCCAGGACCTGGCTCTCCCACTGTGATTTGGGGCCATTCTGAGAAGTCAGTTTCCTCACCTGCAAAATGGGATCCCACCTCGTGCCCAACCAATCGCAAAGGCAAAGCTTATACAAAATTAAGGAAGAATGAATCACATGTACTGATTCATTCATGTACCGAATCGCATATATGTTCAGTCGTGTCTGACTCTTTGCAACCCCATGGACTATAGCCTACCAGTCTCCTCTGTCCATGGGATTTTCCAGGCAAGAGTACTGGAGTGGGTTGCCATTTCCTCCTCTANCGACTCTTTGTGACCCTATGGACTGTAGTCTGTCAGGCTCCTCTGTCCCTGGGATTCTCCAGGTAAGAACACTGGAGTGGGTTGCCATTTCCTTCTCCAATATGTGAAAGTGAAGTCGCTCAGTCATGTCCGACTCTTCGCTACTCGATGGACTGCAGCCTACCAGGCTCCTCGGTCCATGGGATTTTCCAGGCAAGAGTACTGGAGTGGGCTGCCATTGCCTTCTCCAAGATTCAAATGAAGGAGCATCAAAGACCTTTAGTGAAAAGCCTCAGCTGCACTTCTAAACAGCACGAGCACCAACTGCCAGCCATGGTAAATGAGGCTGTTTTGGGTTTTCCAGTCTTTTCCGGTGGCCCAGTCAAGATCATGTAAAGCAGAACTATCCAGTGAAGCCAGAAAATCATGAGAAGTAATTTTTTAAGCCCCCCCCCCAAACAAAGCTGAGGACCTCCTTGGTGGTCCAAGGTTTCATTCATGTCAATGTAGGCAAAAACCACTACAATATTGTAATTAGCCTCCAACTAATAAAAATAAGTGAAAAAAAAATTTTTTTTAATTAAAAAAGAAAAAAGAATCTGCCTGCCAATGCAGGAGACTCGAGTTGGACCCCTGGTTCAGAAAGATCCCACATGCCGTGGGGTAACTGAGCCTGGGCACCACAACTACGGAAGCCCACGAACCCTAGAGCCTGTGCTCTGCAACCAGAGAAGCCCCCCGCACCACAGCCAGAGTAGCCCCCACTCACTGCAACTAGAGAACCCCTTGCACAGCAGTGAAGACCCAGTGCAGCCAAAACTAAAAATAAACAACACATTTTTTAAACTCTAAAAAAAAAGCTGAGACATCATTTCACTCATAAGTACCTCAGAATGAATCTCTTAAACGTAGACTTAAAAAAACCCATAACCACAATACCACTATCACTCTTTAAAAAGTTAACCATAATTCCTTAATATTATCAAATAGCTCATCAGAGTTCAAAGTTTCCCCAATTGCTCATAAATGCTTCTTATAGTTCACTAGTTTGGATTTGAATCAAATAGGTCAACACATTACATCTGCTTGATAAATGTCTAAATTTCTTGAAACCTAGAGATTTCCCATCTTTTCTTTTCTTGTAATTTTTTGTTATTGAAGAAACTGGGTTATCTGTTCTGTAGTTTCCCAGTCTGGATTTTGGTCATTGTATCCCCATGTGTCATTTCACATGGTCCTCTGATTTTTTATAAAACTCGTCATTGGATGCAGGGAGCTTGATTTCTTGGCAAAAATAATGCCTCAGTGAGTTTCGTGTGTCTGGAGGGAGGTTCTATCTCTTGGTGATCTGAAGATTCAGTAGCATTTCAGGGCTTGCCAATCTGATACCTTTCTTATAAAGCTTTCCCATCATATAAGAGCTGAAACTATAAAGGTCTTAGACAGAAACATAGACTGGTATGGGCAGAGGCTAGACCCTGAAGGGTCTATCTGGGCTGAAGTGGAGGCATGGTGGGGGGAGTGGGGCAGGAAGCAGGCAGAGTGCTATTTTGGAAATACCACTCTGGATGTTGAAAGACAGATTGGAAAGGAAGCCAGACTCAGGGGGCTGAGTGCTGTGGGATTCCATCATGGCTTTCTGGAGAAAACAGAACAGCATACAGTATAGAAAACAGTGGAACCAACTATAAGGACAGAAAGCAGATCTTGGGTTGGGGAGGGAGAAGGGTTGAGAGGGGAGGAGTTGAACACAGGGACCTACTGGAGGTAAGCTAATGGAGACATTGTGTGACTTGGTGGTGATGGACTACGTGTCAGGACTCATTACCCTACCAGGTAGCCCAGGACTTGCCGAGGACATGGATGCTGTCTGACCCATCTCTGGCTCCCAGGCCCTGTTAGAGTGACCTCCATGTCTTTAGGTCCTGTCAGGAAGCCTCACCTGGATGACAGTCCCCTGTTCGTTCGTTCGTTCGTTTAACAAGCAATCTTTGGGCACCTACTATGAGCCAGTAGGTGGTACCGAGACTCTACTGGGTACTGAGACTCTGATGACCAAGAGCTCCTCAAGAAACATCAGGCTTGGGACTTGCCTCGTGGTCCAGTGGCTAATGTAGGGGGCCCAGGTTCGATCCCTGGTCAGGGAACTAGATCCCACATATCACAACTAAAGAGTTCACATGCCACAACTAAGACCTGGTGCAGCCAAATAAATATTTTAAAGAAAGAAAGAAACATCCAGGTTTGGCTTCACATGGACTGGATCCATCTGACACATTTTCAAGGGTTTGACTGGTGCCCACCTCTCCTGGTGGGCTTCCCTGATAGCTCAGTTGGTAAAGCATCCACCTGCAAAGCAGGAGACCCCAGTTCAGTCCCTGGGTCGGGAAGATCCGCTGGAGAAGGGATAGGCTTATTCTTGGGCTTCCCTTCTGACTCAGCTGGTAAAGAATCCGCCTGCAAAGCAGCAGAGCTGCGCTCGATCCCTGGGTTGGGAAGATCCCCTAGAGGAGGGAAAGGCTACCCACTCCAGTATTCTGGCCTGGAGAATTCCATGGAATGTATAGTCCATGGGGTCGCAAAGAGTCGAACCCAACAAGCAATTTCCACTTTCAGTTCTGATCACCGCCCAGCCCCAGCTAGCCAGGCCTTGCCAGACAGAACTCACAGCTGTACCAAAAAATAATCTTTATTGTCACTAGTATAAAACAGATCAACTGGCCTCTCAGTCTGTACAAAATGTGGGGTGTAAAGACCACCTGGCTGCCCCCATTTCTCCCATAGTGTCCGGTCCCTGAGCAGCACCCAGGAGCTCCGTGAAGGGGAGAGGGCCACGCCAGTGCCTTCCGTGAAGGAGAAGTTGAGGGTGGACTGGGCGGGGAGCACCTTCTGCCCGAGGGAGGCAAGGAGCAGAGGAGAAAACCAGAGTAGAGGAGCCCCAGCCATTCATGATGATCCCGGCCTCACCTCCTGCCCGCTCTGAGTCCGCTCCGGGGCGGGCAGCTCCGGAGGAGGGGGGCAGCCTGGGGTGGGCCGAGATGTTGCCGGCCCGCGCGGTGGTCAGAGGGCCACGCGGGTGCAGCAGTGGCGCAGCAGGCAGGGCAGGATGCCGCGGTTCAGCTGGTGGAACTCCACGAGCTGCAGCAGGTCGGTGAAGCGGGTCTGGCCCTCGTCCATGCTGAAGTACAGGCGCCCCTCCTCCTCGTTCTGGGGTGTGGCCACAGGGGGTGGGAAGTCAGGGAGGCCAAGGCTGAGGTCCCTTGTCGCTTGTGCAGAAGCAAGCAAAGAGGGGAGACCCCAGGCACCCTGGGGGCGGGGTGGGGAGGACGGCTGCTGGCAGTCCGGCGCTTCTGGGGCAGGAAGCAGGGACACTCACCGGCAGGATAAGGTAATGCTTGACTTTCTGCACGTGGCACAGAGACAGTACAAAGCCCTGTGGGTTCCGCTGACTCTCTCGGACCAGGAACAGGCTGCCAGGAGACAAGGCGACGTGACCCGAGGACACGAGGCCGCTGCCCGGACCCAGGCGTGTTTCCTCCCTGTCCGCTGCCCTGGCCAGCCCTGCCCCTTACCCGTCAACCAGGCCCTGCTGCCTGATGAGCCGCTGGCTCTCCTCGCGAGAAATGCGTCCATGGAACCAGGGTTGGGTGCGGTGGATGGCTGGGGTGAGGGGAGGCAGATGGGTGGTCACTTGGGGCGGGGACCCTCCTTCTCACCACTCACAACAGGAAGGCTCAGAGAAGCCAGAGCAGCCCCCACCCCTGAGGACGCCAGGCCCTCACCCACCTGCACTGAGGCTCGTGCCCGAGCTGGGGGTGGGCAGGCTGAGACGGTGGTTCGTCTTCTTCTGCAGAACAGTGGGGGACACGGGGGATCAGGGCATGGCTGGAGCATTACCAGCCCCTCAAGAATACAGAGCCTCTTTCTGCAGCTGGGTGCCTCCCCTCACCCCTCGCTTTCCTCTTCCCGCTCCATGGAAGCCCAGATGGAGAGCAGTACAAACACGCAGCTGAGAGCAGCCCCCTCACCCGCCAGGCCTGGGCCTCCTCCAGGGCGGCGCTCAGAGCTTCCCGGGGGTTCTCAATGACACGCCCGGCATGGCCGGAGAAGTCCATGGCCACCAGGGTGTTGTCTGAGACACTCCTCTGCGGGTTGGACAGGACGGGAGAGGGGTCAGATGGGACCTCAGTATCCCTGGCGTGGGCCTGGGTGCCTCCCCTCTCCCTCCCACAACACCCTGTGAACACTCACCAAGGGTGGGGAGCCCCCAGAGGGTGGGCACAGGTGGCGGCACAGTGTCTGCTGGTAATTCTTATACAGCTGTACCCCAAACTGCGAGGTGCACAGAGAAAGAAGGCCAGAGGTCACACAGACGCTGGGGGCTCCGCTGTGGCGCCGAGCCCAGACCAGGACTCCCCAAGAATAAGGCCACATCCCTGCTCCTGGCTCAGGGGCTTCCTGAAGCCAGAGCTGCAACTCCAGTCTTGGACCAAGGATTCTGAGAGAACAAGGCTATGATGATGCCCTCTCATTCCAGAGACTTCCTGGGGGCAGGACTGTCACTCCTCTCTCACGCCGGGGATCCCGAGAGCCGGGTCAGCCCCCCAGCGAGTGCCCCCCCTCACCTTGAAGAGGCGGAAGGCGGCCAACCAGCAGCTGCGGCTCTGCTCATCCTCAGTGCAGAAGAGGCGAAGCCCCTTGTGGCCATTTCGAAGCTTGTTTGGCTGTGGGGAGAGGAGACGGCGTGGTCCCACATCTGCCTTTAGAACCAGCTGTTGTCGCCCATCTCTGTGGGGCAGGGCAGGGCAGGGTGCAGGGAGCAGAGTCTGGGGGTCCCAGAAGGAGCTCAGAAGCCCCAGGTAGGATCCTCACCTTGATACAGAAGCCAAAGTCTGTGGGCATCCCGTAGAGCTTGCGGCCCTGGGTCACCACGAACACGTTGGACTCGTTCACATCTGCTACGTACTGCAGGTGCCTTGGATCCTGTGCAGCATAAGTGAGCAAGACTTCGTACAGGCAGACCCTATCCCCCTCTCACCATCCCCCCTAAGCCAGCGGGGGAGATCAGGCCCAGAGAGGAGCAGAGAAGTGCCCCAGGTCACACAGCACACAGAAGGAGAGCCAGGACTTGAACTCAGTTCCCCTGCCTCTCCCACTGCTACCTCTGGGGCAGGTAGGCTGGGAGGGGAAGAGGGATAGCTGAGGGTCTCAGGGCCTAGAGGGTGAAAGGTCTAAGAGTTCCCACAGAGAAGGGGCAGCTCCTAGAAGCACCAGGGATGGGGTCTCCGAGGGGCTGGGGCTGTCACCTTTAAGACCTCACCTTGGAAGTGCCCTTGGTGGAGTAATACAGGCCAGAGCGACGCAGGAAGCAAAAAAAACGTTTCCAAAGCTTGCGCCCTGACCCCCGGAGCTGCAGGAAGCCCTGGATCTCTGGGAAGCTGCCTGCATTCAGGAAGTTCTGAGGACAGGAGAGCAGGGTGAGAGGCCTAGAGGTGGCCACACACACACACACACACACACACACACGCCCACGAGTTTCAGGGCCAAGAAGTCCTAGGCGATCCTGGGGAGTCAAGGCCATGAAATGGGAGTGGGCCCTCACCTGAATGATGTCCTCATGGGATATGCCTGTATGTGCATCCAGACAGCTAGAGACCATCTTTTCTGGGAATAGGGAGTGCTGGGGGCAAAAGGAGCCAGGAGTCAAGGACTGAGGATCTGGCTGGGGATTGGGGTGTCCAGACCCAGACCCCCCCGCTTACACACACTCACTGGAGTGCTCTTGAACAGTTCGTATTTGGCAAAGTTCTTCCGGAAGACGATGCGGCTGTCTCCACCAATGGGCCAGGCAGCCTGCACTTCTGCCACTGACTCATGGTCCTCCAAGGCCCGCTCTGGGGTCACGGGCAAAAAGCAGGGGTCAGTGGAGGGCAGTCGGGTGTCCTGGATGAGACGTCTGCCTAGTCCGGAGTGTGAAGCACTGCCTCCCGGTCCAGGCAACCCCCGGCGCCCTGACTTACCCAGTGCTAGGTAGGGGTGGCACTCCACCAGCCCCCAGTTCTCGTCACTCAGGGAGTGAGATCGGTGCACCAGCATCTCACACACGTAGCGAGCCGTGGCGCCCACCGCCACCTCCACTGAGCGGCAGGTCCCGTCTTCACTGTACACCTTTATGACCTGCACCCAGGAATGGCAGGTGACTCGGGGAAGGGCAAAGGCTGGTTCTCTCCCAGCCCCCTCTGCTCTGCCCTCTGGGACCCTTGACCAAATCCCCTCCACCCAGCCAAGGCGGCACTGTCTCTGCCCCATCCCCTAGCACCCCATGCTCCCTGCCTTCTCTTTCCCAGGGCAACTCACATGGGGGCAGCTCGTGTCTCGTGGGAGCAGCCCCCTTGCACTGGAGGACCCCCCAAGAATGGGGCTTTGTGAAGAAGGACTGCAGAGCTCAGGGAAGGGGTTGGGGATGGAGGGCAGAGAGGTTGACTGCAGCTCCTCCTCTCGAAGAAGTTTCCTGGGGCGGGAGGTGGAGGGGAGGAGTTGATGGTAAGCTTCTGTGCATTATCCCAGCGCTGACCGCTCCCCCCAGCCTCCCTCTATCGACCGACACCCCACTTTACCTGCCAGTTGGAATGGGCAGAGGCTGGGACCTCTTCACCTCCCCAGACAGAGGGGCATCGAGAGGCGGGGGAGTCTCAGGAGGGGTCCCAGAGGCCAGGTACAGGTCTTCTGGGGAGCTGCTGAGATGAAGCGGAGACAGACCCAGCTCCATGACATCTGAGGGAGAAGAGGAACAGCTGCTCTTGTGCCCTTGTCCTGAGGAGAGGGGCCAAGGGGACCCCAACCTCCTTCACCCTTCTGTTGGGTGCCCCTCAGAGTTTATCGGGCCCCTCCTCAATCCCCCCTAACTGGGGTTCCCTGGAGCCTCTGGGGAAGGGCAGAGTGAGCCCCTATTACAAAAGGGGACTCTGAGTCCTGAGAAAGAAGCATTCCTGCCTCATCACAGGTGAGTCAGGGAGCAGAACTCAACGTTTGGACTCCCAGTCCAGTGCTCTTCCTTACCCCAGGTTGCCCGGGGGAAGAGCTGTGAGGGTCCCTTCACCACAGGCCAGGCAGCAGCGACCGACTCCCTGACCCACACACGGCCGGGGTTCAGAGTCACCCTTGCACTTCCCAGCATGGGGCACTCGCTCCTCCGGGCTCTGCCCCAGGTTTTCCCAGCGCTTTGTTGCCAGAGCCTGTTGTGGCAACGCCTGCTCAAGCTCTGAGTGATGCACAGAAGGGGGGAAGGAGGTGGGGAAGGATAGGAACCAGGAGGGCAGGAGGCTGGCTCAGCTGCAGTGGGAGGCAGAAGGTGAGCCTGGGGCCCCCAAACCTTGCGTGCCTTCCTTAGACCCCTCCCCCTCCCCAACTTTCTTGAGGCCTCAACGCCAGAGCCACCTCCTCTGAGAAGCCTTCCTGGATCTCCCACACTCAGACTGAAGGGCTCCCTCTGGACTGTGTGCTGGGGCCTCCGTACCAATGACTGTGCACCTGTCTTATCCACCCACTGGTCTGAAGATGCCGGCCATCCCAGGCAAGGCCAGGGTCTTACCCATGTTTTATCACCCAAAGGCACTATACAGGATCCAGAACAAGGATAGAAGAGATGGGCAAAGATGGCCACTAGCAGGTAGAGGCATCACAAGCCCTTCCTCCACAGGAACCAAGACCCTTTAGGCTGGGCTGAGACCTGGCAGGACCTGGGAGAACCTGCAGTTCTGTCCCCTTCCTGTGCTCCAGATACTGGGCCAGCGCTGTTAGTTTGCCTAAGACACCCAAGATCCACACCCCTGCCCTGCACCCAGGATGAGGCAGGTCCCCAACCTTTAAGTGAGGACATGAGGAGATTTGGGGGACAGGTGACTCAGGGTGGGGCGGGACACACTGCCTGGAGCTCTCCATTCACCCTTGACTCATCTCCACTACTTCCTGGCTTAGGAGAAACACAAACAACCCTGCCTCTACCCATCCCCTCCACTCCCCCACACCCCCCAGAACAGGATTGGGGAGGAGGAAATGTGGGTGGGGGGGGAGGCTGAGGCTCCTCTGACATCATCTCCTCCTCCCCACCTTTGGCCTACCTCCAGTCCAGGTCCAGGTGCAACCTGCAAAGGCCCCCCCGCCCCACCCCCCATAGCCACCACCCAGCCCAGGAACCCCCTCACCCAGGAAGGAGAGAAGAAAAGCCTGGCCGGGATTCAGAAGCCCATCTGGAGTGGAGCTGACCTCACAGGGGTGTCCCTGGGGTACCTAAAGTAACCCAAAGAAACATGCAGTGCTCTTTCTCCTGTCCGGGGGGGCCCCTCAGACTTCCATTCTGCCACTGCTGCTGCCCACCCTTAGCACCCAGGACTCAGCTAGCCCAGGAGGGTCTCATCCTCATCACCCCTAGGAAATGAGGGTCCTTCTAATTCATATACTCTCCTGGGTGTTCTGATCAAAGGCATATTCAGGAACAGGAGTGGAAAGTCAAGACACACAGGAAGACAGACACAGACAGGCAGACAGGGGAAGGCCAGGAGGGAGAGCCAGCGATGGGGCTGGGGGTCCTGCCAGGAAGGGAAAGATCCACACACCATGGAGCACCAAGAGACACCAGCACATCAACACCAAAACACAAGGCCCCTACTCCCACCCGCTGTCTAACCTCTGGCAAACAGCCCTGCTCACTTCATTCCAGGGAGGACGAGGGGAAGGGCGGCAGGAACCACCTGCTCCAGGAAGAAAGAGACCAACAGTGGCGTGGTCTGAGATCAGGAGGACTGGATCCTCTCCCATCCCAGAGGGAAGGGGAATCTGGGCAGCGTTTGGAAGGGGAGAGGGTAGATCTGAATCAGACTAGAGTCTGGCCTCTGTGGGGGGCGGGAAGGCTGACTCTAGATGGGTTTCGCTTTCAGATCCCATCATCCTTCTGAGACCCTAAGGTTCTCCAGATCCTTCTAAGGCAGGACAGGACTGGGGAGTCAGGACCAAAGAGAGGAGAGGTGGGAGAAAGCGGTCCTGGCTGTCTCCCCTGGGCAGCCCCCTCCACCACCCCCAAGAGACCCGAAACTTTCAAACTGGGGCCCTGGGAAGGTTATATTGAAGAAATCGACCCCCACATCAATCTGTCCCCTTAGTATTGCGACTCCCTTCTGCGACTGCCCCGCCCCCCCCCCTCCCTCCTTGGCTCGGGCCCCACCCTCCTTCCCGCCGTCCCGCCTGCAGCCTGCTTGTTTACTTCCTGAATCTTGCCCTACCTGGCTGGCCCCGAGGGCGGGTGGCCGGGCTCAGGGTAGAAGGCCGGGAGAAAACAAGGCCACCTCCGGGGCCGGGCGGGGTGGGGGGGAGGGGCTGGAGCTGGGGCCTGGAGGTGGCGGGAGGGCCCCCGCCAGGCCCAGGAACCCCACGCCCCTCCCGCATCGGGATTTAGTTAGGAGGAAGGCTTTACCTGTGGGGGAGCGCTTAGGGTGAGGGCTCAGGTGAGGAGGCGGGAAACCCCTAGCTGACCTGGAGTTGGGGGGAGGGCCCCCGGACCCTGCGGCCCCGCCCCCTCCCTCACTAGGGGAAAAACATCCAATGGGAATGAGGGGGGCAGCTCTTTTAAAGTTTAATTCGGGAAGAATGCTAGAGTGTCTGTGGAGTTAATCATTACAGGCTGCTTGCCTTCACGGGGGGCCCCCCCAGCAGGATAGCGGGGGGGTGGAGAGGGGAGAGCAGAGTCCAGGACAGGCGGACCAAGAGGGGGCATTCTCGACGCGCGGTGGGGTCGGAAGGCCTGGCAACGGCAGACAGGTGCATTCTCCATCCCCAGCGAGCCAGGGAGACCCCGACTGGGATCCGAGTCCGCCCCGAGACTATTCAGACGGACCAGGCAATCTGCCCCCTCCCCCACCCGCACAGCGCACCCACTCTCCCCAGGCCCTACAGCGCTGCAGACCCCGAGCATTAGCCCTTCAGCCTACCTAGACCACTTCTTTCTGAAGCCAAAAGGGACCCCCCACCACCACCCCCGGGGCCTGTCCCACCCCCACCTTCCCACCGGAGCGCTGTGCTGAGTCGCTCAGTTCAGTTCAGTTCATTTGCTCAGTCGTGTCCGACTCTTTGCGACCCCAAGGACTGTAGCCCGCCAAGCTTCTCTGTCCATGGGGATCCTCCAGGCAAGAATATTGGAGTGGATTGCCATGCCCTCCTCCAGGGGATCTTCCCAACCCAAGAATGGAATCGAACTGGGGTCTCCTGCATTGCAGACATGGGGGGGGTGGAGAGAGACGAAGGAATGGGGAGAACAGGGAAAGACCGAGGGCAGATAGTGAGGAGGGGGCAGGATGGGAGGCTGGAGGAAAAGAAGTGAGGTCTCCAGAGAAACACAGCAGCAGGCCACATCTTTCTCCATATTCTCCAAAGATCTCCACATCTTTCTCCTGGATCTACTGGTGCTCCCCGCCCCCAAGACGACGTGCCGCGCTCTGGTCCTTACCTGGACCCTGGGTCTTGGCACACCTGGCTGGGGCCACCGGTTTAGGAAGGGAGATGCCAAGCTCTTAACTACCTGTCCCCCTCCTGTCCCCGCCCTTGGCCTGACATCACTGAAGGAGGGAAGGGAGAGGGAGCCAGGCGGCCGCCTGACCTGCCCACCTGGGCAGCCATCCAGTCAGCTCCTGGCCCCGAGACTGGCACAGCCTGGGGCCCTGGTGCGGCTGGGAGTGGGAGCAGATTGTCGTCTGCAACCGATCTCGGTCCCCTTACCTGGAGGAGCCCCAGCTGGAGTAGCAGGACACAGGGTCCGAAGTCCGGCGCTGTCTAGGAACCTCAGGTACCTGGGCTTGATCTTAAACCCCCTCCCTCTTCTCTACAGGTGGTAGGAGAGTGTCCCGACTTTGAACGTAGGAGTTGGGGGAGGTTGAGCTCTGTTGTCCAGGCTTCTGACCCAAGGAAACAAATTATCTTGGGCAGGTGGGGGCGGGGCCTGAGGGAGGGGCATGGGCGGAGGAAGCACCGGAGGAGGGGCGGGGACTCCCTGACACTCTGCCCTGGCTGGGATTGTTTTTGTCCTTCTGTAGCAGGTGCCAGGGGAGAGACAAACTGTACAGCCCCGAAAGCGAAGATCTAGAGTCCTCATGACCTGGGAGGGAGAAGCTGGGACCTGGAAGATCAGAGAAAGAGACTCGCCAATGCTCCCCCACGCCCCTTCCCAAACCTGGTCTGTTCATTGGCCAATTTAGGGGGCCTGTCTGCTGCTCAGGGTCTTACCCCTTGGGGCAAAGGGCACTCTATGAAAGAGGGAAGCCAGCCAGAAGGATGTCCAGCAACACGGCCTGCCCCTTGACCTCCAGCCACAGTCTGACCACCCAGGCTGCACCCTGGCCTCTCAGGGGCACCCAGAATATATCCTCCCTTCTAAGCAAAGTCCATGGTCTCAGGTTTTCCTTCTGACCTAATCGAAGGGGTTAGGCAAGGTCTCCCAGTGGGAGAAGTGGTTTGGGGAAAGCTCTGGCCAGGTGCCAGGGGACTCCCCTTAGCGCTGGCCTTCAGCAGTAGGCAAACACAAGGTTGGAGAGAGGGCCTGGGAGACTGAGATCAAAGGCAGCAGCCGCCTCCCAGCCCAAGTGGGTGACAGTTCAGTAAACAAACAATTCATAGGGGTGATAAGAGATCTGCCCTGGGGGACCTCGAGGAGTAACTCGATGCTCAACTTTCTCCAAACTCAATTTTCCTTGAAAAAAACCAGAGTGGCCTACCTGAAGAAGTGGGGAAAGAGGCAAGGTCACCTGACTCACTGGATATCTTGTGAAAAACATGGTAGACAATTCACTCAATCAATCCTTCATTTGCTCAACTAATATCTGTTAAGTACCTACTCTATGCCAACCGCATGCTTGGCACTGGGGATACAATGAGCAACAAAACAGATCCCACCATTATCTTCACGTTCACGCAGCCCAATCAGGGAGACTGATGTTAATCAAAGAACCAGGGCTTCCCTGGTGGTCCGGTCATTAAGTATCCACCTTACAATGCAGGGACGTCAATTCAACCCCTGGTCTGGGAAGAGCCCACGTGCCATGGAGCACCTAAGCCTGTGCAACTACTGAAGCCCGCATACGTACAGCCAGAAGCCACCACAATTCGAGAGTAGCCCCAGCTTGCTGCAACTAGAGAAAAGCCCAAGCAAAGCAACGAAGACCCAGCGGCAGCCTAAACAAAAAGAAATCAAAGGAACGCACGAATAATAAGAGATGACAGGAGACAACTATACTGGGAAAACACACAGGGAGTTAGGGAAGACTTCTCCATAGAAGTGACAGTTGAGCAGAGGGGAAGCTGTCTGGGTTGGAGGATTTGGATTGGTGGATGGGAAGGGGGAGCACCTTTCATGATGATGAAACAAGTGCCAAAACCCTTGACAAAAGGGGACAGAGCATGCAGAGGCAGAGCAGGGTGGAGAAGGAAGGAGAGGAGCCCACACAGGTGTGGCTGAGCAGATGTGAAAGGTGTGGGGAAAGGCTTTGTACTCAACTGTGTCCCTCAAAGTGTGGCCTCCAAATCTGCCTGGGCTTGTTTAAAAAAAAAAAAAAACAGATCCCTGGGTTTCCCTGGTGGTCCGGTGGGTAAGAATCCTCCTGCCAATGCAGGGGACACGGCTTCGATCCCTGGTCCAGGAAAATTCCACATGCCATTGGGCAATTAAGCCCGTGTGCCGCAACTACTGAGCCAGCATGCCTAGAGCCCGTGATCCACAACAGGAGAAGCTATGGCAATGAGAAGCCTGGGAATCGCAAGTAGAGAGAAGCCCAAGCGGCAACAAAGACCCAGCACAACCAAAAATAAATAAATAAAATAAAACTTTAAAAAACCAAGCAAACAAGAACAATAAAGAAACAGATCCCTGGGCCCATCCCCAACTACTGAAACTTGGTCTCTGGGGACAAGACCCAGGAATGTATGGTATTGACAAGCCCTCAGGTGGTTGTTCTGTAAACCAGATTTAAGAGCCATCCATCCTGTCTGTCCAGACCAGCAGGAACTATGGGCAGAGGCCAGACCCTGCAGGGTCCATCTGAGCTTAAGGAGAGGCCCCGAGGAGCAGGCAGGTTTATGTTTTGGAAAAAATCACTCTGGATGTTGAAAGATACGATAAGTTGGAAAGATAAACCAGACTCAGAGGGCTCAGTGCTATAGGATGCCATTTATATGACTTTCTGGAGGGGGCAGAATGCTAAGGACAGAAAACAGATCTGGAGTTGAGGAGGAGAGGGGTTGACAGCAGGGAAGCTTGTGAGGAGGTCATGGACCTGTTGTGTATCTTGGTCCTGGTTGTAGATGTACAACAGTGTGTGTCAGGGCTGACAGGAAGGTACACTCAAGAGGATGTGTATTACTGTGTATAAGTTATATCTAAATTTCTTAAATAGAAAAGAAACGACAACAAAAAAGAATAGATTTATAAATCAATAGGACAGCTTCAAGAGTCCAAGTAAAAATCCTTACATTTCTGGTCAATTGATTTTTTTTAAACTTTTTTTTGATGTGGATCATTTTTAAAGTCTTTATTGAATTTGTTACAATACTGCTTCTGTTTTATGTTTCGGTTTTTTGTTTGTGAGACATGTGGGATTCTTAGCTCCCCAACCAGGGATCGAACCCCCACCCTCTACACTGGAAGGCAAAGTCTTTTTTTTTTTTGTCAACTATTATTTTATTTACTTTATTATGTTTTCAAGCACACATTTCAAGCTTGGGAGATGTACAAAAAGATTATCTCTAACTATTAGGAGCTCAGTAAGTATTATACGGGTGATATTAAACCAACAAATAAACCATCACAAAATTTTTTTTTCTTTTTTTTTCTACCATCACAAAATTTAACTTTGAAATTATTAAAAGCTTGGGTTGAGGATCTTATCCATTGATCAGCCTGATGCCCAGGAAAAAAAAATCATGACATCTGCCAGGAAATCCATGGAAATAACTGTATTGTCAATGTCATATATGTGAAGAGTGGTTTAAAAAAGATTTGACCTACCAAGGTCATGTGACTTTTCTGTACCTTTCTTTTTGGCCACACCATGCAGCTTGTAGAATCTTACTGCCCTGACCAGGGATTGAACCTGGGCCTCGGCAGCGAGAGCACCGAGTTCTAACCACTGAACCACCAGGGAATCCCTGTTAACTGTTAAACTTCACTGTAAAAGTATAAATTGAATGGATTATATTCAGAAGGGTTTTATTATGAAGAAATCTGAGTTTAAGTCTTAGAAGTGATCATAGGAACATAGTGAAGTGAAGTCACTCAGTCGTGTCCGACTCTTTGCAATCCTGTGGACTGTAGCCCACCAGGCTCCTCTGTCCATGGGATTCTCCAGGGAAGAATACTGGAGGGGGTTGCCATTTCCTTCTCCAGGAAGGCAAAGTCTTAACCACTGGACCTACTGGTTAATTGATTTTTGACAAAGGTGCCAAGACAATTCAGTGAGAGAAAGAATAGTCTTTTTGATAAATGGTTCTGGGACAAATTGAATAGCCACATGGCAAAAGATGAATTTAGAATTGTGTAAGATCCTCCCTTACACAATTTACAAATATTAACACAAAATAGATCATGGATTTAAAAGTAAGAGCTAAAACTATAAAACTTCTAGAAGAAATTATGGGAGAAAATCTTTCTACCTTGGGTTAGGCAGAGATCTCAGGTACAAGAGACAGCAAAAGCACAAATGACAAAATAAAAAGTTGATAAACTATACTTTGCCAAAATTTTAAAATTTTGCACTTCAAAAATTAAATTAAAAAAAAATACTTGTGGAAGATTGGAGGAAAATAATTACAAGTCATATATTTGATTAGGAACTTTGTATCCAGAATACAGTTGATCCTTGAACAATGCAGGGCTTAGAGGTACCAATGACCCAGAGCAGTTGAAAATCTGAATATAACTTTACAGTCAGCCCCCCATCTGGTTTTCATCTTCAAATTGACCCAAATTTGCATAGTACTATGTATTTACTGAAAAAAATCCACATATAAGTAGACCCACGAAGTTCAAACCTGTGTTGTTCAAGGGTCAATTGTATATAAAGAACTCCTACAAATCAACACTACAGAGACAAACAACCTAATTAAAAGTGGGCAAAAGATTTGAATAAATGTTTTTCCAAATTAAGATATATGAATGGCTCGTAAGCACATGAAAAGGTGCTCAAGACCATTAGAGAAATGCAAATTAAAACCTCCTCACTCCCATCAGGATGGCTATAATGAAAGAGACAGACAACAAGTGTTGACAAGGATACAGGGAAACAAATCATCATATATTGCTAGTAGGAATGTAAAATGGTACAGCCACTTTGAAAAACAGTTTGGCCATTTCTTAAGTTAAACATAAACCTTCCACACAACCTAGCAATTCTACCAGTAGGAACGTACCCACAAGAAGTAAAAACACATGTACATACAAAGACACACAAACATTCATAGCAGCATTATTCAAAATACCTCAAAGGAAACTCAAATATCCATCAATTGGTATTGAATAAACAAAACATTTCATCCATACACTAGGATATTTCTCAGCAACAAAAAGGAACCACTAGTACATGCTATAACATGGATGAACCTCAAAAACTGTAAAAAGAGTGCAAGAAGTCAGAAGCAAAAGACTACATAGTATTTCATTTATATGAAACATCCAGAAAAGGCAAACTGATAGGAAGCAGATCAGTGGTTGCTTAGGGCTGGAGCCGATAGCTGGAAAGATTGAAAATACGCAGGTGGGACTTTTTTTATGTCGGTGGAAATGTGTGGAGATGCACAACTCTGTAAGTCACTGAATTGTTTAAAAATGAATGGTTTAAAGGGATGCTACAGTGAATAACCTGAGAGGATCCTTTGGTGGGGCTCCAGGGAAAGAAGAGGCAAGGAGACAGCCTCCACTTCTAGAGCTGCAAAACGGGAATAAAGGAAGCCAGCTCGGTAGCGGGGTAGGATGAGCGGGGGAGGTGGAGGAACTGGGTGCACGTGATGGCAGCACAGAGCCCGCGAAATAGAAGCCTTAACGCCTAAGGTTTCCGAAGGCATGAGACAGACGGAAACTACCCAGACTGTGCCTGCAGTTTAGAGCTTAAGAGTAAGAAGTACACAGTTACCTGTGTAACTGTGGAATGGTTTATAATGCCATCAGCAAGACAGGAGAAACGCCAATTATTCCATACCATCACTCAACCCCAGGCCCTCTGCAGTCTAAGCTATGTCATTAAATTAAATAAGATCGTGAAGTCCAGCTGACACTAGATGTGGGGCAAGACCTGCGCTCCGAGAATTCGGGCCAGGAAAGGTGATCTAGGCCGATCCGCCCAGCCCAAGCCCTCCAGCTGGTAACACAGTCATAACGCAGTAGCAGCCGCCTGCAGGGGGCGATCCGACGTCACGCGCGGCCCCGCCCCATCACGTGCCCGCGGCGTTGCGTCACACCCGGAAGCAGCGGCTGTAGGGAGCTGGCAGCAATGAGCGGGGATACAGGGACGACGTCCGTAGCGCCCTCTCCCGGGGAGACCGAACCAGGCCGTGGGGTCCGCATTGTGGTTGAGTACTGGTGAGCGGCCCCTGCCAGTGACGGGGATCCGGGCCTGACGAGGGTGGGTCCACCGGAGGTACCTTTTCCGAAACCCAGCCGGACCTCCGGTATCTTCTCCCTAGCGAACCCTGCGGCTTCGAGGCGACCTACCTGGAGCTGGCGAGTGCCGTGAAGGAGCAGTATCCAGGCATCGAGATCGAGTCGCGCCTGGGGGGCACAGGTGAGGCTGCAGAACACCTGCTGAGTCAGTGTTCTAAATCCCAGCTCCATCACTTTCTAGTTCTAGCATTGGCTGCTTTATAGTGTCCAGCAGTACCTGGCACATAGTAAAATGACCAGCCAGCTTGAGCCCCCTTCCATAGGTGAGGGGAGTCACATTTGAAGCCTACTGGGAGAAACGGGTGTTGGAGGGAAGGGAAACTTTCATTAAGTTACCAGGAGTTCAAAGGAAGGGCACACGGATGATGCCTCCCTTAAATTTCTTTGGCTTTACCCAGGGTTAGGAAATGGCTTGAAGAATCCTAATGGGGCTAATGAGGGAGCTTGTGTGAAGTCTAAGGAGTGTGGAGGGCCCCATTTTATAGAACTTCTCGCCTTTTGCCTGTGCTCAGCATACAGTTCATTCATATGTTTATCTAATACTAGGGGCCTTTGAGATTGAAATCAATGGACAGCTGGTGTTCTCCAAGCTGGAAAATGGTGGCTTTCCTTATGAGAAAGATGTGAGTACTTGCAATACTGGGAATAACCCTAGTTCAGCTTTTCCCTCCAAGGGACACATCATCCCATTCCACATCTCTGCCCTCTAGCTCATTGAGGCCATCCGAAGAGCCAGTAACGGAGAACCCCTCGAAAAGATCACCAACAGCCGCCCTCCTTGTGTCATCCTGTGACTGGATGCGATTCTCGGTTCCTGCTCTCTTCTGGGATCCAAGCCTTGGTTGCCCCGCTTTGATCCCCACTGAGGGCTCCCCACTGCCTCTGTCACCTCACTTAGCTTGTGGCAGCTAAGAGACCCTGGCCTCCACTTTGCCCCTTTGGTGGGCACCAGGAGGGAGTAGATGGTTCTGTTGTCTTAGGGTTGGAAGAGAGATGCTCTCCATGGACATTTCCACAGCCACCTTACACTCCTTCCCTAAGATCAGTGCCCACAAAACCCTGCTCCCCTCTCCAGCTCAGCTGTACCTGTCAGATGTTACCATGCTTCTAATTTATTTTCCACTAGCCCCAGGCAGTGTCAGCTATTGGCAATAAAGTGGCACTGCAAACACCTGTGCCCACTAGTGTGTGTTTTTATGTCCAGTTTGGGACTATGGGGAGGGAGGGATGGGGGACAGAGGCCAGCCCAACCTTTATTCCACCAGCGTGACTGTGCTGGCTGGGTGGGTTTTTTCTGGATTTGTTGTTCCGTCACTAAGTCATGACCAACTCTTTGCGACCCCATGGACTGCAGCATGACAGGATTCCCTGTCCCTAGCTACTCTTAATTCAGTGATTTCCTTGCCAAGGCAAGAAAAATGAGTCACACAGTAGACAGTGCCTCTTGTTTCCTCTGTCCTTCCCCGACTCCCCCTACCTACAGAGAGGAAATTACCCCATTCTGGTGGGTGGGTGGCCTTAGGAGTTCTTTTTTTCCTAAGAATGATCTTTTCAAAGGGCTCTCAGATCAGAATCCCAACTCCCAGTTTCCCCCCAACCCAAGAGCCAGAAAACTGGAAGAAGGCTCCTAATTCAAGCTTTCCGAAGATTCCTAGCCAGTCCCTCCAGGAAAGATGAACTGAACGTAAGTTCAAAAGGTGAGCAGTAAAGGGATGGCTCCAAGCCACCCCTAGACATAAGCTTGTGTCCAGCTGTTTTCCAAAATATATTTTCAGATGGAGAAAGTGAGTGTGGAGGACATCCCTCCCCCAACCCCAGGGACTGCCCCCCCAAATACCCACTCTCCACCGAGTCCTTATTTCATTTTTAAAAAAACAAATAAACAAAAAAACATAAGTAAAAACAAAACCAAAAAAGCAGTCTGTACAAGGACTGGGTCTGGGTGCCGCCGCTGCTCGCTTCTTCCCAGGGACAGAGCTGGGTCTCGGGGACAGTCTCTGAATGGGTTGCTGTAGTTCCTAGACACCCCCTTGGGGCCTTCTTCACACTTGGCCCAGCCTCCCTAAGTCATTCAGTGCCAAGGATCTGGAAGAAGTCAGGGTGGGCCGCTCTCAGCCACCTAGAAGTTGAAGTAGAAAAGGAGATTCCTGGCATGGCAGGCTCCCCTGGACATGACCCAAGGGCCTGCTCCCTGCCTAGTGCCGATGTGGGCCAGAAGTCAGGCCTTCCGCACGTCCTGAGGGTTCAGCAGGGCCTCAGTGGCCCTGGCCTTTTGGCTCATACTGGCATGTCCAGACCCAGGTACTCTGGGTTCTCTGCCGTAGGGGTCCCTTCAAAGGTGCTGGGTGGAGTGCTCCGGTCTGATGGGTCCTGGTCCCAATAATAGAGGTTGTCAAAGGCTGGGCTGAAGGCTGGAGAAGGGTGGGACTGAGGGGCAGCCCTGCCCCGGGGTGCCAAGTACTCAGGGTTCTCCACAGCAGCCCCAAAGGC